CAGAAGAATTAAAGGAAGACTGAAGGAATACACAGAGTTGCTGTGCCAAAAAGAACTGGATGACATGAGACCATTTCAGGAAGAAGCATATAATCAAGAACCAATGGTAAAAAAGGAATAAGTTCAAACTGCATTGAAGATAATGGCAAAAAAATAAGGCCCCAAAAATTGATAGAATATCAATTGACATATTCCAATGAATACATGCATCCCTGCATGTGCTCACCAGGTTGTGCCAAGAAATCTAGAAGACAGCTAACTGGCCAATCAACAGGAAAATATCCATGTTTATTCTCATTTTTTAAAAAGTGATCCAATAGAATGTGCAAAGTATCAAATAATATCATTAAAATCACAGAAAAATAAAAAGGTGAATTTGAACCTTAACCTTCCAGTTAGCCACTGTGTTTGCCAAAACCCCAGGTTTTCAGATAAGGATGCCCACAGACTATGTTTCAGTACATAGGGGATGCTATTTGAACTTGCTTCTATCTACAATAGTGGGCTGTCATTTCTTGTTCCTTTCTTAAGGTGTAGTTGGTAAACTTACATGCTCAGAACTAGACCATTATATAACTCACTGTATAATCCCCCAGGGCCCATTTTATACCATTAAAAAACAAACAGATGCAAATTTAGGGGTATTGAATGGATTCTGACTCATGGTTACTGTTCACTGGGTTTTCAAAGCTGTTTATCTTTACAAAAGGAGATTCCCCATCTTTCTTTTGAAGAGCAGACAATGGATTCAGTTAGGAGCCCAACACATTATACATGACTCTACGTAGGACCTTTTATGTCATAAGTCCATCACCTTTATCCAACCTCTGAGGAAATACATGCAGGCAAAACTATTTTTTTCCCTGCATAGTATTTTTAACTTAAAATGTTACATTTTAAAAATATAATGTATATTCTGTTGTTTTTGTTGTTATGTGCCATTGAGTCTCCTGAGTCATTGAGCGACTCATAACAAAACTTGAATGTATTTTAGGGAGCACATCAAGATGGATATTTAAAGATATTTTCTTTTTACAGTCAAGGGGGTGGAGATGAGATGAGAGTGATTACTTCAAAATACAATAGAAGAGAAATCTGATAGCACTGAAACAAAATGTTTTAAAAATGATACGCCAACTTAATATTTCCTATCAGATTTTCAATTGCTGCCCATAGCATCTCTCTCATGCTGGCTACTCCTTTCGATTCTCCTTGTTTGGTAATCTGTCACCCTTTCGTATTCATGTGGAACCAGGGCAGTTTCATAAACGGCAGACCTGACTCTACCTCAGACTTTTCCAAATGCTGGGAAATGCAACTGGTCCCACCCCATGACATGGAAAAGCACGAATAAGCTAATATATGTCTTGCTGTCTCCTTGATCCCCATCCAAGGAAAAAGAGAGGAATCTCTTAATGCCTTCACACTGTAAATAGGCTAGAACCAGGGTCAGCAAACTTCTGTCAAGTGCCAGGCAGGGAATACTCAAGGCTTTGCAAGTTCTATGTCCTCGTCTAAACTGTTCAACTATGTCACCACTGCAGCCACAGGCAATACTCAAATGGCTAACGACCACGGCTGTTTTACAGTTCAAGGTCATTTATGAGAACTTAAATTTTAATTCAATATCATTTTTATATGCCATAAAATACTATTCTTCTTTAGATACCACACACACACACACACACACAAAACACACCACTTTTAAATTAAATGCTATTCTTAGCTCTGTGACCCTACACAGAATATTTGACAGGAGGATGGATTTTGCCTGAGATCTGTAGTTTCTTGGCTCCTGGGCTGGGGCATGGCTGAAATCCTGGCAGACCTGGGGGGCGGGGGAGGAAGCAGAAGAAGAGAGTTTCCTTTCTAAAATGCCAACTGGCGGTATTTAAGCTCAGAGAGACACAGTGATGTCTTACATACACCATCTGGCTGTGTCTGAGACACAAATAATCACGAATGTGGATGCAGTGCTATATAGGTAGTTCTGACTAACAGCGAACATCAGGCTTCCAGGGCTGGAAATCCAAACAGAAGACTGCCTGGCGTTCTTCTGAGGAGTGGCTAGCAGCTTTGAATCACTATAAACATGCAGTCTTTGGCTTAACAGCACAGTTTGCTATGGACTATGCCACCAGAGTGCCCTCGAATGAATACAAAGATGATGGCATCTAATACCTCAGCCTGGGAACACTTGCCCCACTATATTTTTATACGATATTGGTAAATCAAGAAATATGACTCCTTATGAGGGGCCAAAATGCCATCATATTTTAATAGGGTTTTAATTTCCTTATTACTATACTTCTGAATCATGAATGAAGGGACATGAATAAAGGTGGACAGAAAGGTTGACAAAAGAGTTGCTTTACAAAACAATGAATTTGGACTAAAACTGACTCACTTTTAGGCCTGGTCCTGCAGTCTGCGAGAAGGGGGCCTTGGTGGTTAGTGGTAAAATTACAGCCTTCTATTCTTTCTGGCACAGGATAGGGCAAGGTTTAGGGCTGTTGTACATAGGGTCGCTATGAGTCACAGGCAACTCAATGGCATATAACAACAATAATCTTCTTTGCAAAAGACATTCACCTTATTTTATGTGCTACAACTGAGACAAATCTATCACAAAAAGCAGTTACTGCATTGCTAGTTACTGTGGACCACCTGCCAGATAAGGGAGATGAACTATCACTGAAATTATTAACAATACTCCTCACCTGGCTGACTTTCAAAGTTTTTCACAGCTTAGCCATATTGGTAATAAAATTCTCAAAGTGAACTTTATTGATACCAAGTCCAAACCAATTCACAGATGATTCCCTCCCCCACCCCATAGACTCCTGGAAGTTGTAAATCACCTGGAGGGAATTCAAATCTTCATAGAGAAATAGCCTTTGAGTCAACAATGTATCTCCTTACAGATTGGGCCACCAGAGTTCCCTTCACAGTTCTTAAGAATGAACTAAGATTACCCTCCCCCTCATTGAGATTATCTTTCTAAGAAACACTTTTGCCAGCTGGATTTGGACAATTGCAGCTTGGATCTTACAAAAACATGAGACTTTCTTCGTGTCATTTTCTTTCTTTACACATCTTTCACTTCCAAGATCAAGGTATTTGAAACACAAGGTCTCTCCACTTGATGCCAGAAGCACCTCTGTATACTGTGATAATCAAAATTGTCTTCCTGTATCACCATATCATCAAAGCCAAGACTCAAACCCTTCACAGGGCATTCCTTCCTTCAGAACAAAGACTGCTTCCTCACAGCGATCTCATATTAGTGATCAGAAAACAGATAAACACATTTCACCGACAGTATTTTTTTTTCCGAGCTGCTGCTTTAATGATATTTTTCTTCTCTACTGTTAAGCAATACCTTAAGAAAACAAAAAAGTGGCTCTGATTTTAAAGTTTAAGTCTGTGACAGATTTTTCAAATATCTCATGCTCTGAATAGGTATAAACATGCAACATGTGTAAAATGGCTATGAAAAAAACAAATAATATGAAAGAGCCATGATCATCCAAACTTATGTACCAAGAATTAAGAAATAATGCCCTCCTTTCACCCTGCTTCAGAAGAGCTTTGCTAATAAGTACTTCCCACTTGTAACAGAGAAGTAATGATTTCGTTTAGGTCAGTAAATGACAACATTGATTACATCCACTTACAATAAGTATAACCATTATACAATATACATAAACCCAATCATACATGGATTGTTCTTCACAAGTCTGATTTACAATCACTGCTCTCCCCTTCACTTCTGAGAAAAGATATCAAATTCAGCCAAAAAGTACTTATGAGATTATCTTTCTAAGAAACACTTTTGCCAATACACTGAGGTACGTCTGAGGTATCTATGCATTCCACCTGGTCTCTAAGTCCCATCTGATACCAGATGTAACTGAATATTAATAGCAGCCTGTGTCACAGTCCAGTGTCTCAGGTTGAGTCATGCAATGGATGTCAGCCTACGATGTATACACATCCTGTATAATGCTGGAATGAGACCTTGAAACACACACCTCGAGCCCAGTCATCATCACTGCACATTATAATCTGGAATGAAAGCTGCATAGAATAATGTTGTTGTTGTTGAGTACCACTGAGTCAGAAGGAACTCAGAGCTGATCCTCCAGCAGGTTTTCAGAAGCAGTTAATCACACTGGAAGAGAGAGCCCCACTTTCTCCAAAGTGTCTGGCAGATTAGAAACACATATCTTTGGGTTGGCAGCACAACTCCTTTCTACTGACCATCAGAGGTAACAATGAACTGTATACCCTTCAGAGGAGGCCCATGTCCATCTGAACAGAAATTCACTTCAAGCCTGTCCTCCATTGAAATCTGATAAACAGAAGCATTTTCTTAACCAGTTTCATTCACACAGTTCAAGGGCCATATGCATACTTATACTGGTACATACCTATAAAAGTTAGACAGTGTTTTGACAGATCTAGGGAGCTACATCCTCTTATTAGCCCAAACAATTCTATGAAGTGAGAGTAGCCCCAAATTTCCTCTACACCTATACATCTCTATATCTAATGCGAAAATACCCACCTTACCTAGAATCTACAAGACAAACTTGATTATCTTTCTTCTGTGTTTGCAATTAGATACCAGTTCCCGTTGATTCTATCTTACATGATTCTGGAACTCACTACTCACAAACATTTGATCAGTCACCGCTTCTAATCTGTAATTGTTGCGATAGTCTTCTTCCTTTCTATTATAATCTAATTCATCTCCTTTATTCCAACTAGATTTGAGATGATTGCTGTGTAAAATAATAATCCATCTGGGTGATTTTTTTTTTAAGAAAGTGTGATATAAAATAAAAATCCTCTTATTCTACTTTTCTTTTTAAGCCAGGCCTTAGACTATTGGAGGTAGGGGGTGCTGCTATTTTCGGTGTACCATTTCTGTAATAACAACTTCCCACTTAATTTCACAAACAGTACGAGAGGGCTGGTGAATGTCACTCACTCACTTGCACATCGGTTCATATCTGGGGCTCGGTGTCCGTAGTACCCTGATGGGCAGGAATGCAAGCACTCTCCATACTGGCGCATCCCTTCTCTCCGCAGAAAGAAGAAGAGCTTCTGCTGGCACCGGCTGCACCCATTGTCCTTGGAACAAGACAAGCAGCCCTTGCAAATGGGATTTGATACATAACTAGCTGCAGAAAAGAAGAAAAAAAAGAACCAAACAAAAACACTTTTAAATGGGACGATAATCAACAAAGAAATAATACAGGAACAATAACAAAACATTAATATATAACCAGGTAAAATATAATAATTTTGGTTTTTTATTTAAAAGCAATTTTTTATTTTATACTGGTTTACTTACAAAGTTTTTATACACTGTTTCACACCGATCGTTCCCATTTCCTTTACCCACCCCGCCCTCCACTCAAATTGTGAGACCCTATATTAACCACCCCCGTAGCCCATCCTCACCTCTCTGCTCCCCCCGCCCCCTTCTATCTTCATACACGTTCTACAATAATGGTCTTATACCATATTTGTCCTTATGGGACTGAGTTAGTTCACTTAGTGTAATACTCTCCAACCCCTCCCAGGTTAATATTCTTAAATTTCTTACATTAATACATAACCAGTGAGGAAATTATGAAGCTGTATCAAGGTTAGAAGCAGAAATTGTTCATAGGATACTGGACCAGAGGCAGAGCAGATGGCAGGGTTATGGATTCAGGTCTGTCTGGAGCTTAAATTTTACTCCCTTCATGTGCAAAGGAATCACTGGATTGTTCTATGAAACAAATAGAAGAACCTCATCCCAGCGCCCCAACGAGTTAAGAACATAGAAACTCTAGACTGAGGCTGTGGACGGCATGAGCTCAGGAGTGAGAAAATATTGACAAGAAAAACCTTACGTCTGCACAATATCCAAGTGTAGGGCCCAAATTCAAATTAACATTTTATAATCACCAAGTAAATAAGTTAACATAAATCTTGTCCAGAGCCAGAAAAATACAGCGACTAGTACATGAAACTATGCTTTAGACGTTTTACACAATCTCCAGATCTGAGACTTCTACAGAAAACTACCTTAACATAAAAAAGAGCACGCCACACAAAAATTTTACCAGTCTCTGTAAACTGGCTAATTCACACCTGAAAAACTGGAAATAATAAAACAATCTGGTTGTTGTTGTTGTTGTTATGTGCCGTCGAGTCGTTTCCGACTCATAGCGACCCTATGCACAACAGCCCTAAACCCTGCTCTATCCTGCGCCAACCGCACCGCCTCTGACACACCCATCCCGATTACCCCAGTCACCGAATCAATCCATCTCATAGAGGGTCTTCCCCTCCTGCGCTGTCCCTCCACCCTCCCAAGCATGATGTCCCTCTCCAAGGACACGTCCCTCCTGGCAACATGTCCAAAGTATGTCAGACGAAGCCCCAGAATCCTTGCCTCCAAGGAGCAGCTTGGTTTAATCCTCTCCAAGATGAATCTGTTTGTTTTCCTGGCAGTCCAGGGTACATTCAGTACCCTTCTCCAGCACCACAGCTCAAAAGCAACCACTCTCCTTCTGTCCTCCCCAATCATTGTCCAACTCTCTGATGCATAACAAGCGATTGCAAATACCATGGGTAGTGTCTTTAAATTTATACATTTAAAGTATTTTTGAAGGAATAAAAATCACATGGCAAAGAATAATATTAATAAAAATTATCTCAGAGTTACCCTTGCCTACATTTTGGATTCAGCAAGCCTGAAAATGCACCAAAGAGCTCAAATTTCAGGAATATTTATGTCTAAGCTCCTATGGCTGGTCACTGAAAACAAGTCCATTTGCAGAAGGACTACTTTACAACCAATTCAAGCTATGAGCTTTTTAAAAAAAAAAAAAGCTCAAAAAAATTCTTTATTAAATGCAGAAAATAAAAATTTTCTGCACAAGATTAACAGTTGATAGTAGAAAAAATTGTTTTCTCAAATTAAATATTCCTAGCCTAAAATGGGGGAAATGGAGAGAAATTGAAATTTTAAACTTTTAAAAATGTTTCTTTAGAGTAAATTAACTAGAACAGAAACTACTCAAAAGGAAATCACTCACAAAGATTGCACAAGAAAACAAAGCTATTAAAATGTAGGGGAGCATTAAAAAAAAAAGGAAAAAGATGCACGATTAGCAGGTATTCCAGAGGACAAAATAAAGCAAATCATTCTTTCACTCTCTTTCATTGTTGTTCTGTCAGAACTGATTCATAGTTGAGCCAGACTCCAGTAGGCTCTCAGAGGCTGTATGTCAAATGGGATGAGATGGAGTCACTGGAGGATTCGAACCACTAGAGAGACACCACCTTTAGCAGCACAACTCCCTACCCACCAGGCCACCAGAGCTCTCCAAGAAAATGGGCAAGACACAATATTTAAAAGAATAATGATGGATTCTTTTCTAGAAACAAAGAAAGAATTCTTAGATGAAGACTCCTGGCAACATCAGTAAAACAAGTACCTAACTTGTTTATACTAGTGAACAAAGTTAAGACAGAGATATTTTTAAAAGAATAAAAATATGACAGTATTTTTATCAAAACCAAGTAGAATACAGTGGAATACATGTATCTTCAATTTTTTAAAATATTTTTTTAATTGGGAAAAACATATTGGGGGTGCAAGGAGGTGAGGGTTGGGGGCAGAAGGGTGAGGATGGGCCAGTTATCTTCAATTTTTTTTTCTTTTAAAATTTTTATTTTTATTTTTTTGGGGGGATTCCATTCATTCATTGTTGCACCCTTCTCCCCGCACAAACCCCTCCCCCCTCCCCCCATTTGCTCCTCTCCTTGAAAAGCAAAACTCCCTCATTGGTACACAATCCCCGCACCTCCCCAAACCCCAATCTTCAATTTTTAAGAAGCTAAATGATAAAAAGCTCTTGGTGGCTTAGTGGCAAGAAACTGTGCTGCGATCCCAAAGACACATGGTTCAAATGCACCAGCTGCCAGTGGGAGAAGGATGGGCAATCTTTTCCTATGTGATTAACTGCCTCTGAAAACCCACCAGTGGGGTCAGTTCTGACTCAACAATACACAACACCACCACCGCCACAAATGATAATTTAAGAATGCAAAAGGCAGGATGGATGGATGGATGGATGGATGGATGAAAAGTACCCACTTAAAGAAGTGTTAGCAGTGTGTTTGAAGAAAATCAAATCAAATCTGGGAGAAGAAATCAAAAGAAGGGCCCACTGGAAGCATCATGCTTATACAGCAAAGACTTGAGAGGCAACGTTAAATGGACTCAGCACACTCTGAACCCTGGGTATCAAGCAGAAGACTAAGTAATTAGATTAAACAATAATTGGGGGAAAGAAACAGAATGAAAACAGTGAATAAAGAGAGACAAGAAGCAGAGCTGGTCCAACTCAGCACAACCCAAGTGTGACATCCTCAGTCAAACCAAGGAGCAGTCCTAGAAGAGAAGCAGAGGAGGACAGCTTCCCAGACACACTAATAAGAAATCAAAAAGCTGTGTGGACATCCTTGCAAAGAACTAAAGTGAGCAGAAGAGCAAGAGCACCAGAGACTCTGAAGCTCACAGAACAGGAAAGGAACAAGAAGTCAGACTGTGCACCAGTGGCAGCCCGACTGGTCAATACAGAGGGTGTGCACACAACGTGATACATCTACAGTGCTGTAAGAGCTCACTCACATACGTGCGTGCGCGCACACACACACACACACACACACACACACACACACACACACACATCGAGTAGCCTCCAGGCAAGAATCCTTCTTCTCACACTAGAGGAAGGATGGGTCCCAATTTTTGTGTGCAGTAAGTAAAGGTACCCTGGTACACTTAACCAGTGACCACAGGAGAATATTTTTTTACCCCTTTACAAAAGAAGCAGATGCAATGAGAGGGTGGCCAAGTCTGACTTCTTCCTGCTTCATAAAGTGGACCATTGCCCATCAGTAATTTCCATGTCAACAAGCAGGTAGGTTCTAGGTCAGATATACCACTTCTCACACTCTCACACTCCTGCACCTATTTCCTCCTATCGCTAGATTCAATATTTACTGTTGACTCTGTTGTGATATCAAGAGTGGTTAGGGAAATATCTTGGAGAGTGGGAGAGGCAAAGAGAATCTCATAGTGCAAGTCCAGGTTTAGTCCAGCAGTTCCAAGCCAGATTAACAGCTAACTACAGTTCCTTAATTAGTAAAACTAACTAGTCATGGTTTCAGTTCAGCAACACATACCACAGGTCAACAGGGAGTGTCCTTCATGCACGCTGGGTCAGCCACTGGCCCCTGCTCACCTTGCCTGAACCATGCTGCACCCATCTAATAGACCACTAGGCTCTGCCCAACTGGTTCTAGTGCTGCATGCCCTGCACAATCACCTGCTTCACCCTGTATCCCCCACCCTGGGACCCAGAGTAGCAGCCTCACAAACAGCAATTGCTGCCCAGCCTGTTTTCAGTCACCACGCACAATGAACATGCACCCAACCTCACACTATTAACCATTATCCGAATCACCCAAAGACAGAAGGGTGAACACTGCAGCACTTCCAGAGCACAGAACAAGATAAGCAAGTCCCAAATGTAACAAAAAGAACCAAAACAAAACAAAAAACCAACCCAACAAACTTGGAACAAAGCAAACCAAACAGCAAGAAATAAATAAAACTCCTTAAAGCCTCCAAGACCAACTAAAACTCAAAATGGGACCCAATGCTGGTGAAAGAACAGAATGTCCCCAAAGAGAAGTAAAATCTTTACAAAGCAGACTACTTCATTTTTCTCCTATGGACCAGATGGTGGGTTCAAGTCAATCTTTTGAGTAACAGCTCAACACTTCATCAACTGTACCACAAGTGCTTCTCAAAGATAATATTGTTGCTGGGATATGTCCTGTCTCCATACCTTTTCAACCTGTATGAAAAACAGATGATCCAGGAGGCTGGGCTCTATGAGGAGAAATGTAGCGTCAGGATTGGTGGAAGATTTATCAACAATCCGCATTATGCAGATGACACAACCCTGTTTGCTGAAACTGAGGAGGACCTGAAGTGTTTGCTGCAGAGGATCAAGGACAGCAGCCTTCAATATGGATCGAGGCTCAATATCAAGAAGACAAAGATTCTCACCACTGGACCAATTGGCAGCAACAGAATGGATGGTGAAGA